CTCCTCCTCCTCCTCCTCCTCCTCCTCCTCATCCTCCTACTAGTATTCTTGATTTTTGTATGTTTATTGTTAATATTTGTATAAATGTTAGTGATACTTTATTGTTCCTATTATTAGTAGCAGTATTATTAGTTGTATTCGTCGTCCTCGTCTTCTTATGTTCGTTAGTATTCGCATGTTTAGTATTAGTATTATTATTATTATTATTATTATTATTCGTATTCAGATCAGTCTGGTTATTCGTATTATTAGTCTTACTATTCATAGTATTATTAGTGTGGTGATTCGCCTGTCTTCTCTTTTTCTTATAATTACTAGTACTATTGTTATTATCATTAGACTTACAACTATTAGTATTAGTCCTCCTCCTCCTCCTCCCCCGCCTCCGTTCCGCCTCCCCATCCCCCTCCTCCTCCCCCTCCCCCTCCCCCTCCTCCTCCTCCTCCTCCTCTCCTCCTCCCCTCCCCTCCCCCTCCCCCTCCCCCTCCCCCTCCCCCTCCCCCTCCCCTCCCCCTCCTCCTCCTCCTCCATCCTCCTCCTCCTCCTCCTCCTCCTCCTCCTCCTCCTCCTCCTGGCTCAAGCAACCGTATTGGCTCCAGGTGCCCGCTAGCCTTCCGCCAGCTTCCGTACCACAAGCCGATGTGCGACTGGGAGCGTGCCGCCTGCAAGGTGACCGCCTCATATATTTCGGCGTCGATGGCGCGGCGATCTCGGCTCCAGCGCTCTGCGGCCCGCAGGGCACAGCGATCTGGCTTGGAGTTGCGCGCCGCACTGCACAAAACACCATCGGCACGGCCTCATCCTCCCCCTGGGCTTCCACAGCCAGACTGCGGCGTCCGAGGCAGGCCTCGAACGGGGTCCTGCACATGCTGGGACCAAGTACATTGTCGTGGAGGTTCCTGACCTGCGCGACACAGCCGTCGACACCCTCATCGACTCCTATTGGGAACCTTGTTTCCGGGAGTACGGCCTCGTGCAGATGGCGTTCAGAGATTGCGCTACGCCTGTGGAAGAGGAACAGCTAGATGCTCTGTTTGACAGCCCGAAGGCGCAGCAGACCGAGTCCCGCTCAAACATAGACGCGACGCCCCAAGTGGCCAGCAGGAAGCGGAGCCACACCACCTTCGAGACCCTGGAGAGCATCGACAAGCTGAACCACAACATTGTCAACAATGTCGAGGAGGCAAACCCGCCCAACGTGGACAGCAACGAGCTGATCGTCACAACCGACGGAAACGACAAGTTCGAGCAGTGCGAGGCGGCGATGCGCAGCAACTTCGCTACCGAGGGCGAGGCTGTGGACAAACTGCCTGCCCCCGCCTCGCCTTTCATCACGAAGGTCACCGAGAACGCTAACCTGGATGACGCCTCCCTGCAGCAGGAGACCATTGAGGCACCGCCGGTGCAGCAGATCGTCGAGAGCGACACCACAGTCCAGGAGTACCGCGTCGGGGACACAGCGGTGGAGCCCACAAGCGAGGTGGCGCTGCACAACGGCCTCGGCATGGACCCGAAGGCCGCAATAGCATCGAACGCCAACGCGGACAACACGGAGCTGAAGGACACCACCTTCACGACTCTCGAAGCCGTTCCGCGTTGGCAATACAGAGATGACAATGGATTTTGGAAGGACTTCGTGGACGCCCGTGACAGTGCCAAGTTAGGCAAGAGATATCACAAGTTCCTTCAGCACCCTGGGAAGAGCATCATCACGATATTGTTGTTCAACTCGGACGGCATGGAGGTAGATTTCAGGGCCATGGAGATGTGGCCTCTTGTGAAAGGAGGCTTTCGTAACCGTAGCAGCCTCCGCAAGCTGTAGGGGGCTCCCTGTGCGGCGCGGGCGCGAAGATAACCGCGCCTTGGGCGGGCTCTCCGCGGGCCCCCCCTGGGGCCGCCTCGCCCGCCCCTGTGCTCGCACTGTTTGGGGCCCTCGTTCGTTTTCCCGAATAAGCCTCTAGGCCGTAGTAGGGTTTGTGATTTGGATAGGAATCCCGTCTCGGATAGCCGATTCCGCCACGAGCTCCTCTGGGCAGGGGCGCAGGCGATGGAGATAGATCGACTGTCAGCGAAGGAGACGGTAGGCTAGTGAAGATATTCTGGCCTCGGATGGGGGCCCCCGATTTCCTTCCCTCCCTGCTGCCGTGCTCCTCAAGGAAGGCGCAACACGGCTGGTCGGCGGGTAGTGGAGAGGGAGATCGGATGTCACCCCTGAAGGTAGAGGGTTGGGTCGGGTCGGCCAACCCTCTGCCTTCCCCCCCCCCTTGAGAATGTGATGGTCCTCCTCCTCCTCCTCCTCCTCCCTCCTCCTCCCCCTCCTCCTCCTCCTCCTCCTCCTCCTCCTCCTCCTCCTCCTCCTCCTCCTCCTCCTCCTCCTCCTCCTCCCCTCCTCCCTCCTCCTCCTCCTCCCTCCTCCTCCTCCTCCTCCTCCTCCTCCCTCCATTTCCTCCTCCATCTCCTCCTCCTCCTCCTCCTCCTCCTCCTCCTCCTCCTCCTCCTCCTCCTCCTCCTCCTCCTCCTCCTCCTCCCCTCCCCCTCTCCTCCCCCTCCCGCTCCCCCTCCCTCTCCTTCTCCTCGCCCACCTCCTCCTCCTCCTCCTCCTCCTTCCTCCTCCTCCTCCTCTTCATCTCCTCCTCCTCCCCGTCCCTCTCCCCCTCCCCCTCCTCCTCCTCCTCCTCCTCCTCCTCCTCCTTCTCCCTCTCCTCCTCCTCCTACCATCCATGTCGAACACTCGCGTTCTTTGGCGGGGTGGTCTGTCGGGCAATGATCAGCAATCAACTTTCCGATTCGGGGCCGATGCTTCCTCCCGTTAACCTATCCCCCTAACGTTGCCTCTGAACTGTGCGTCGGATCGGACCGCATCCGCATGGAATTGAAATCGGATCGGATCGGCCGAACAATGCTTCACGACCGCACCATGCAAGCATCAGGTCGCATCGCATCGTCGGAAAACCAGGCTCGAATCGAATCGAGCTGGCGGGAGAAGCGACATCGAATCCAATCGATAAGGGCGAGACGGACCCTGTCAAGATACCGCCTGGCAGCGGCCGGCAGTGGCACAGCTCCCGGCTCCCGAGCATGCGCCTCCAAGAACACCTCGTCCCCCGAGAATATGAGCGTGCCGGCGTCTAGCGCGGCGCCGTCGCCCGCGGCCTCCGCGCTGAGCGCCTCCTGCCGGATGCTATCAAACAGCTCGAAGGGGAAGTCCCAGGGGGCCAGGCCGACCCAGTGCTCGTCCTCTCGGCTGCAGGCAAGGAGTGACCCTACGGCAGGCTCGTGTCGTGACGACTTTGGAATTGGCTTCTGACATCGCGCGAATTGTTCAACGACGAACAGTCGGCGGCATTTCGATCGCCAGATCGTTCCATTGGACGACTCTGGGCCGCTTGCGACTTTTAACCTTGACCGCCCGCGCTGGGTTGTCGCCGCGTCGACACCATGCAACGTGTGGCAAGAACGACCTCGTGCGCGCGGCTTTTCGGGGGGGGGGACCCTGACCGCACGTGGGCCCACACCCGAGGCTGCTGCTACGAATGTGGCGGCCTCCCGACTGGGGTCCAAACATGAGGGGCAACGATAGGGGCGGACCTGGAATCGGCGATACATCGCCGAATCCGCTCGTTCCTGGGCAGGTTGGGGCTGTCGGGCCCCTATCGGCGATCAGTGGACGATTGGGGGTCGAGGCATCCCCCCCCAGGACTGTCCCCCCCTATCGTTGCCCCTGAAAGCAGCTGGGGTCGGAGGACCGCGCCGCATCGCCGATGCTTCGCCGACGCATCGGCCACGGGATGGGGGGCTGCTCGGCTGTCGGGGGGCGGCGGGGCAGGCACCACCTTCGGTGGCAACTCATGGGGGCCTTCCATACCATCTTGTCGGCTCTTGCGAAGCAAACCTGGACGGACGCTAATCGACGCCAAATCGGCGCTAAAGACAGAACTCCGAGGGTACAAAAGGCTCCCATCATTCGCTACCGAACGCCTCCCAAGCGCGCAAGCCGCTGCCGTCGCACCGATCGGAAGACCCTCCTTGGGCCCACACCAAAGAAAACACGGGACAACCCTGGGGGAGCCGTCACGGGAGCCTCTGTGGACCCCGCGGCCGCCTCGTAAGCGTGATGTCGACCAGGTGTCGTCCAGATGTCGACCGCCCCTCTTCATCCTGTCGTCGATATTCCGTCCCAGTGCCGCCCAAAGCTTGAGCAAATCCTTTTTGAAGAAAAAGCCCAACACCGCGAGGAAACTAGGGACCCTGTGGTGCTCCCGTCAAGGACCACACGAGACAGGACGGGACCTGGGGGAAGCGGGCCCTGGACCTCTGGGGCCTTCGCCCCAGGGCCAGCGTCTCGTCCTCAGCCGCTGTCGGATACCCGCGGCGGCGCGCACAAAGGGGGTAGGGGGGAGGGGGGGGAGGCTGCTTGGAAAACGTCTTCAGAAGGGGGTTGTCGTTTTCGAGGGCGCGGGCCTCGCATCTACAGACAAGGCCCACGCCTCCCAAGAAGCAGGGGTGCTTCTAAGAAGCCCTCCCCCTGCCCAGTCCCCCCCCCTCTCTACGCGTGGCCGACCCCCCCCCGGGCCCGTGGAGGACCAGTTTCCCTCAGGATCGGCTTGTTCTTGTCGTCGTCGCGTCAAGTCATAACTCGAGCTTCGGGCGGCCATTCGGCGCGATCTGGGCAGGCCCAGCAACCCCTCGCCGCGGCGCAGCCGCTGGAGGGCACACCCAGGCCGAAACGTCGCCGACTAAACCACGAGCGCGCCTCAGGACTTCGAGGTTCGAACCGCCCATGCACCAGGGACCGTGGAAGGGAAGGTAGAAAAGAAAAGGCGACAGGACCCCGAGGCGCGAAGGGGGGGTGGGAAGGAAAGGTAAGAGAGAAGGGACAATGGGGGGGAGGAGAAGGAGGAGGAGGAGGAGGAGGAGGAGGAGGAGGAGGAGGAGGACAAGGAGAAGGAGGAGGAGGGGGAGGAGGGGGAGGAGAGGGAGGACGAACACGAGGGGAAGGGGGGGAGGAGGAGGAGGAGGAAGAGGAGGAGAAGGAGGAGGAGGAGGAAGAGGAACAACTTTTTCGGTGGAGGGGGCGCACGTCGTGCCCCACGCCCACGCGCGCCCGAGCCGCGCGCAACGCGCGCGGCCGACCCGTGCCCCCGCGCAGCCGCGGCGGCATCATCCCGCAAACGGCAGCGGCCGCCTTCGCCGCCTCCTCTCTCCAGCTCTGGCGTGTTGCGCCGAGCCTGGCCCTGCCATGCAGCAGGAAGCGGGTGGACGATCCGCCGCGCTTTGCGCGCTGCGTGCGGGCACGCTTTGCCTCTTGTCCCTCGGCCTCCAGGCACCTGCGGTGGCGCGGGCGCCCTCGCTCGCGCACGGCAGCTGAGCACTGCGGCCGCGCGCTCGCCGACCTTCCGCGCCGTCGCCTCTCCAGCCGAGCCCTCGCCAGCTGCGTTGACCTTGGCCAGCAGGCTGGCTCGCCAGTCCGCGCGAGCGGAAGCGCCTTCGCGGGCTGGTCGCTGGGCCTCTGCCTGAACCCCGTCAGCGGCGCTGCTGGGGCTGACTGCCTCCTGGCCCGCTGCCCCTTGGAAGCCCCGCGCGGCCGCTGCTGCAAGGCGTCGGGCTTGCTCGGCGCGCAGGCGGGCTCTGCCATCCTGGGGGTCCATGGCGCCACTGGTCGCGGCCTGTGACTGGCCCTCATGGCCCCCCCCCAGCCGCCCTGGCCGCTTCGCCACCGTCGCCCGCGCCTTGGCTTGGCCGCCGGTGGCGCGCCTGCGACCACTGGCCTGCAGCGGCGATGGCAGGCCCTCCTGCGCGGCCGCCACGACGGCCTGCGCGGCTCTCCCCAACGGTCGTGGCCGCTTTGCCGCCGCTGCGCCCTGGTCGCAAGTCAAGTGTTTGCGTCCCGGTGCCTGCTGCAGAGCTGCCTGGGTCTGCTGAGCGGCCATTCCGACAGCGGCAGCTGTCGGCGCGGTACCCGCGGCAACACCAGCCGCTCTGCCTTCGGCGCCGCCCAGCTCGGGTACGTTTTCATCACCTTTTCCATCGTGGTCGCCGCGGTCTGTCCCGGACGATGCAGCGCGGCCCTGAGTGCGGTCTGTTGCATGCTGGCCGTTCTGGCCGCCGCCCTGCTGCGACTGCGCGTCGAAGGTGTCCGTCAGCAGCAATTCGAAAGCTCGGGCCTCATCGCGGAGCGCGTCGGCGCGGTCGGTGGAGTGTTCGACGGCGTCAGCGACATCTGGCCCGACCCTCCTCCTGCCAGGGCTGCTGTCTGAGCTCCACTTGTCGCCGGCGGGGCTCGCTGTCGACGATCTCGATGGCCAGGGCGAGGACGGGCTGGCAGGCTGGACTCCTGCTCACGCGTGGGCTTCACTAGCTCCGCGATTGCTTATTTATGCTCCAGCTGCTCGGCTGTTCCTTCCACGCCCCGTGGGTCTCCACTGTCGCTGGAGCTGTCCAGGCAGAAGCTGTCGTTCTCTTCCGCCACTGGCTGGACCTCAACCACCTGCCTGCGGGGCCGATCGTTGTCATCTTCGCCGTCTGGATCAGACCTCGGTGGCCATGACCTGCTCGTCCGCAGCTGGGCCGCCCGATGGTCGCTCGGTGGCTGAGTGCTGTTGCCGGCCGCGCCCGTGCTTTCGAGGGCAGCCCTGATCGCCTGTTCATGCGCCTGGTGCGCAGCAGGCTCGCGTTCATGTGCTTCTCCCTCGAAATTTTTACAATCGCGCCCGTGTCTCCTGCCGCGCATCCCGGGTGGCCTGCCACGCTGCCTCGCGCCATTCGGCCGGCCTGCGCCGCCGTCCACGCTCTGCCGCTTCATCGTCCAGCCCCATGAAGAGC